TCCCACATTGTATTCTATCTGCCACTTCTTTGCCCACTCTCCTAGCCTGTCCATGTCTTTCTGCAACCTCCCCACTTCCTCAACACTACCTGATTCTCCACTAACCTTTGTGTCATCAATATTGTGGAAGCAGATATTGCCCATCCATATTGACAGCAAAGAGGAAGCAGACTATTCACCTGAGTAAGGAACCTTAAAGAGAGGCTAAAACATACAGCGAGGTTCATTATTTCTAACTCAGCATAATATAGGAGTATTAAAACAAAGCTTTTATTATATCTAGCTGAATGTCTTCACTTCAAGCCTGAGGAGATGTTGGAGACTATCAGCATCAGTTGCAATCTGAATTGAATTTGTGTGAAGCTGGGAAACCCTTCAGTAAAGGATATAGAGGATTGGATAAAGAGAAAAAAGGGAGGTTTTTGGCAGAATTTGAAGGCTCAAAAGACCATAAACCCACGAGAGTACAGATTGTGCAAGGAGAAATTTTAAAAAGAAATTAGGAGAGCAGAAAGGGAATATGAAAGACTAAGGACAGCAACTTATGGGCAAGCTTGTCATTGGACTGATCGTTGGCAAATGGAATTTAATCCGAATAAATGTGAGGTGACGTGGGCAGGACAAACAAGGAAAGGGCATACATGATGAACAGGAGGAACCTGAGGAACGTGGTATGCATACTCACCAGTCCATTAAGGTAGCAGGACAGGTAGATAAAGTGGTTAAGAGGACATATGGGATATTTGCCTTTATTAACTGAAGTATGAGGCATAAGTGCAGGAAGATACTGCTGGAACTGCATAAAATGTTGGTTATGTCACAACTAGAGTATTGTGTGGAGTTCTGGAATCCAAAATTACAGGAGGAATGTGTTTGCACTGAGAGGGTGCAGAGGAGATTTACCAGCATGTTCCCTGCGCTGGAGAGTTTTAGTTCTGAAGAGAGATTGGACAGACTGGGGTTGTTTTCCCTGGAGCACAGCAGACTGATAGGGGCCATGATTGATATGTATAAAATAATGTGGGGTTCCAGTAGACAGGAAGAAGCTTTTCCTCTGGGTGGAGGGATCAATGACTGGGGGGCATGGACTTAAAGTAAGGGACAGGAGATTCAGAGACTATGTGAAGAGAACTGTTTTCACCCACAAGATGGTGGGAATCTGGAACTCATTGCCTGGAAGGGTGGGAGACATAGGAACTCTCAGAATATTGAAGAAGTATTTAGGCATACATTTGCAATGCTAAGGCATGCAAAGCTATGGGCCAAGAGCTGGAAAATGGGATCAGAATAGTTAGGTGGTACTTTTTGACTGGCAAGACTCAATGGGTTGAAGGGCTTTTTGATGTGTTGTAGAACTTTATGACTCAGTCTGATACTCTGTGCATATGAGGATTCTATTTGTGCAGCACTAGTCAGTCACATGAATTGCAATGCATGTGAACAGCAGCAGTTCATAAGAGCTGCAGCAGTTACTTCTTTCCACAATCCTTAATGCACAGACGGAGAAACACAAGGAGTACATGGGAATGAATTAAGTGGGTTCACAATTCTATATCTGGTAATGTTAACTTTTCGCTTGCCTCACACTATTCCTTCTGGATATGCAGTGATGCAGGAATAAAAGTAGTTGATTAAGGGAGATATGGAAAAGCTGTCAACCTGCTTAAATATAGCTTGACTTTTAGCAGATAACCAAAAGATCCTAATGCCATGATGGGAATGCATAATCAGCCCATAAAGTAGAATCAATTGAAGATGGAGAAGAGAATTTTCCTCTGCTGCCAACCAATTGTGGGGACCTGGGGACATTGGAAAAAATCTCTCTGCTCAGCTCAACTGAGGTAGTCCCTCTGCAACCACCCAGTTTGAGCAAACTTCCTCTGGCACTGTTGTAATTACATAAAGAATTATTTTCATTGTGCATTATGCACAGGAAAAGTCTGCCCAAATGTTATTAAAAAAAAAAATTGGATTAACCCTCTTTTTTTCTTCACAGATGCTGCCAGACCTGCTGAGCTTTTCTGGCAACTTTGTTTTTGTTCCTGATTTACAGCACCCAACAGTTCTTTTGGTTTTTAACTTAGATTAACTGCTGCTTCTGAGATAGAGTAAGCTACCCGCTGACATATATATCACAGCATGGTTTTCATATGTAAAATAGTGAACATTGTTACTATCCCCATCATCTTTACATGTCATACATTGTTGTACGTCTGAAGTATCTGTGAATATTCTCCTCTGAAGTCCTGGTCAGCCACCAGAAGTTTGGGGCAAAGTCCCAATTTACATGTTTCAGTTGATCTGTTTTCAAAATTTAAAGAGTTGAGAAAAATTCCTGAAAGATATTCCAACTGTATTTCTCTAACATAGATCAGGGTGTATTATAATCAGTGGTAACTTCCATGGGAGATTGCAAAACACTCCTGGAAATTCTACCACAATATTTCAACCATATTTCAAAGACGAAGTTCAGTATAAATCAGAGTTTTCCTACCTGACTTCTTTGGTGTTCTGGTAAATGTTCCTTTCACTGTTCTGCAATGGGAGTTGTCCCCACCACATACTCCACACTTGTCATCCACTTTGTTTGAGCCAATTTCTTTATCACACCCGACTTTCTGTGGAGATAAAACTTTAATCAACACCACAGTAAAATAGACTACATTACAGAAACACTGGGGACCGGTACAGCTTGTTCACTTCTCTAGCCTACTGCAGGCGAGAGAGCTTACTGTGTTTGCTCCATTTTAGCAGGGTCAGGGAGAGAAATCATTGACCCTTAGCTTCTCCCTATTACTGGGACACTTATAATCATAGAATCCCTGCAGCACAGAAACAGGCCATTCAGCCCATCACCAATCCTCAGACGAGCACCCCACACAGACCCACCGCATCCCTGTAACCCTGCAATTCCCATGGCTAATCCACCTAGCCTGCACACTGTTGGCAATTTAGCATAGCCAATCCACCTAACCTGCATGTCTTTGGACTGTGGGAGGAAACTAGAGCACCCGGAGGAACCTTACACAGACACTGGGAGAATGTGCAAACTCCACAGAGACAGTCACCCGAGGGTGGAATCGAACCCAGGTTCCTTAGTTCCATGAGGCGGCAGTGCTAACCATTGAGCTACTGTGCCGCCTCAGCTCTGCCCACTTTTTAACCCCCAACAGTTTCTGTTGACCAACTTTGCAAAGTGTTTTGGGCCTGATAGAATAACGCAGCAAGGAAAGAGGACATTCAGCCAATCAAGTCTTTACTAGTTCTTTCAAAAAGAAATCATGTCTGTCCTCCCACTGCATCCCCACCCATTCATTTCCTTTTCTTCCCTCCAGATATTTAGCCAATTCCTTTCGAACACTAATTTGAATCTGTATCCACATCAATTTCAAGGAGGGAGTGCATTCAAGTCCTGACAATTATATGTGTTAAAGTTTGCTCCTGAGTTGCCTCTAGCTCCTTTCCTAATCAATTTGAATGAAGTTAAATCTCGGCTATTTGCTTATTGATCCTTCTTTAGGCTTTGGACTCAATTTCTATTTATTCTATCTGAAACCTATGTAATTTTATCTACCTCCAAAAAAATTCCTGGAGGCTCTTGACTCTTAGGAGAGCAACCTCAACTTTGCTGTAATAAAAGCTGCAGATGCTGGAGATCGGAAATAAAAATTGAGTGTGCTGGAGGAACTCAGCCGGTCTGGAAGCATCTGTGGAGACGGGAACAGAGTCTGAAATGACTATCCTTCATGAATAATAACCTTTCCAGTGATGTCCACAACTAGAGAATTTTATTTTAAATATACAATAAAACTGTGAAATATTGATAAGGAAGTCCCCAAATACAATTCTAAATAATACATTGCTTTTTGGTTATTATATCAGCTTTAATCATAATTGTGATTCATCTTTGCTAATTATATTAAGATTATGAAGAACAGAGAACCAGATATTGAGGCGAGATAATTTTTTAGACTTCTCCTTTTAAATGACGCTGCAAACTGTCATTATATTCTGTCTCAAGACCTTTTGATAATTACTGATGTGATTGATTTTTGGGTATAAGTGGTCAATACTAATGTGACAAATTAATGAAGTGCCTCTACTCAAAACTGGTAAATATCTGTGAGTAGATTTACATTGTTATCTTGCCCCAACAAAATGACAAAACAAAGTAAGAGATTTTATAGTCAAAGTAATACCAATGCCTTTATTTAAGTTTCCCAAATTTAAGTTATTTCAACCTAATGTTGGTCAGTTGAAAGGGCCGATGTTAAAGTTTAGAGTTAAGAGTTGTTTCATATCATGTATGAAGTAGTGGCATGAGAGCTGATTGGTACTACTTTAGAGCAACCGATTAACCATCCCAGTCTCTGACCCTCCTTGTTGCTGGTCAACTCTCCAGTGTCCAACATTCCCACTCTCTGGCTGACCACCCAGGTCTCCAACTCTTCTGGTCGTTGGCAGACTCTCCCTCGGGTTAATTTTCACTGACACACCCAATTGCTGATCCTCCCGGTCACCAATTGACTCTCACTGTCAGGTTTATCTCTGCCAACCTTCGATTTGCAGCTTGTTCTCCATCCAAGGCTGCTCTTCCTGCCTCTCACCACTCATATCCTGATACCTTACACACAGCGATAGTTTGGGAGAGAGTGGCAATGGGCAGGAGAGGCAGGTATTGGAAGGGTTGACTGCTGATCGGTGAAGTCAGACTATGGGATGCTTACTGATGACTGGGTGTGTTGGTATATGAGAAAGGTGGTGCTTGGAAGGAAAACTGAAAGAGCACATTTCATTAAGTTACTTCATTTAGGAATTCAGCAATATAGAGTACTTCAATTCACAAAGTGTGTTGTTTTCAAGTGATTTTTTTGGGGGAGCAAAGTCTGAAACATTGCAACAGTTTGTCCTGATCTATGCTGTGCAGACCCCTCACTGCCTCAAACCTCTATAAAATCTTCTCAGTCTTCTTTTCCCCAAGGAAAACACTCCTATTGTTTTGAATTGGTCTTCAAAATGGAAACTCCTCATTCTTGGGATCATACCTAGAATCTTTACTGCTCTCTCTCTAGTGTCTTCACATACTTCAGAAAGTGTAATGCCCAAAACTGTGTTAATACTCCAGCTCAAGTCAAACCAGTGTTTTGTACAAGTCAACATAACCTCCTTATTTTGAACTCAATGCCTCTATTAATAAATCCTTTTTTTTTCCTTATTCATTCATATAATGAGGGTGTTGCTTGTAGGCAGCATTTATTGCCCATCCCAGTTGCCAGTCAACTACATTGCCGTGGGTCTGGACTCACAAGTAGACCAGACCAGGTAAGGATGGCAGTTTCATTCCCTAAAGGACACTAGTGAACCAGAGGGTTTTTCCTGACAATCAGCAATGGATTCATGGTTATCACTAGATTCTTAATTCCAGATTTTTTAAATTGAATTCAAATTCCACCAACTGCTGTGGCAGGATTCGACCCCAGAACATTATCTGGGTCTCTGGATTAACAGTCCAGCGATAATACCAATAGGCCATTGTCTAGCTGCTCTCTCAATCTGTCCTGCCACCTTTAATGACTTATCTATCCATTCATCCACTCCTGCATCCCCTTTAGAATTGTGTCCTTTAATTCATATTGCCTCTCCCCATTCTTCCAACCAAAATGAATCACTTCACAGTTTTTCAGAGTGAAATTCATCTGTCACTGCTCCCACCATTCCACCAATGTTTCATCACCCTTTTGAAGTTCTACACTCTCCTCCTTACAACTCACAATGATACCATGTTTTGTATCATTCTCAAACTTTGAAATTCTGCCAAAGGTTAAGATCATTGATATATATCAGGAAAAGCAAGGATCCTAATAGTGACCTATGGGGAACTCCACTAGAAATCTAGCTCTGTCCAGTAATTAACCACTACTTTGTTACTCAGTTTCATGTCACCCAATTTTATATTCGTGTTGCTATTGTCCTTTTTGTTCAACGAGCTATAATTTTGTGTGTAAGTGTTGTGCAGCATTGAATGCTTTTGGAAGGCCATGTGCCAATAATATGATACTTAGCCATATCAAATATAATTACACTCATCCATTTGTTACCCCTCCAAAAGATGTCCAATTAGTTAGTTAAATCATGCTAGCAGTCCTTAATGACACACAAGTGTCCAAGAGACTATTAATTTTGTCATGAATGGTTGTAAACAGAATTTATTCCAGCACTGGTGTTAAACCTCCTGACCCATAGCTGCTAAGCTTATCTTTACAACTTTTCTTTGAACAAGGTTTAAGGTTTGCAATTCTTTAAGCCTCTGACACCAACCCTAAATCTAAAGACATCGGAAAAATTACGGTGACTGCCTCTGCAAATTCCACTTTTACTTCCTTCCATATCTTTGGATGGATCTCGTACTGTCCTGGTGACTTTTCTGCTTTCAGTGCAGACAGCCTATCTAATACCTCCTCCTTTTCAATTTTAAATGCATCTAGTATTTCCTCCCCTGTCTTGATGGCTGGGTGGCAACTTCTTCCTTGAAACTGACAGATGCAAAGTATTTCTATAACTTCAACCACACTCACTGCGTCCACATGTCAGTTTACTTTCAGATCCCTCATTGTTCCTACTCCTAGTTTTACTATATTTTTCTACTTTTTGCACTTATTGAAGGCTTTGGGATTTCCTTTTATGTTAACTACCGAGCTGAAGCTTCTATGCTTATCCTGATTCTACTTAACATCACTTATAAGCACAATTTTTCCTTCATTTTCTATATTTTTATTTTATTTCCATCTAGAGAGCTCTGTCGCTGTTTGCCTTCCCTTTCCCTCTAGAGGCCCAGGTCTGAAATAACTCCACTTTGAAGGTAGTCCATTGTTCAGCCATCATCCTTCCCGTCAACCTCTGACTCCAACTTATTCAGTCCAGATACTATCTTTCTACTCCCACTCCAAGTATATTTAAAATAGAAGTTGATAAAGTTTTGCTCATCATTGTAAACAGTTATGGACAGTCTGGGCAAATGGCGATGAAGTGTTTGATCAACCAAGATCATAGTAAATGGCAGACCAAGCGTTATGGGCTGAATGGCCTACACACGTTCTTATGTTTCCATGTTCCTATTCCTACCCATTGAATTTAGCTTCCCCAATGAATAATTTTATTCTGTATCATCCTTTGTCAGCCAATGACACAGTGACCACTATCTTCTAAATGTTGTCCTACTGACACTTGATCTAATTAGCTTATCCCATTCCCAAGAAGCAGATTAGCAGTGCCTGTTTTTGTCCTCCCTATTGTCACTCTTTACAAAATGTTTAACTGCATTTGTTAGAATCAGGTCAAGCTATGAGAAGGATGGGCAGAACCCTACAGACTTTTTGAACTGAAATTACAATATGAACTTTAACATATTAATGTGAAATTCTTCTGTAGTTTTAGCCATTTGTTCTGTTTTAATGTCTGAATGGAACCTGGAAATGACTTCTTTTTGGTGGCACAGTTTAACTCATTTGCAATGGTAAAGTGTGTGGGACTGATGTAAGCAATTTCTTATGGACTTCAGTTCCCCCTTGATTATTTGTGGCATAGGTAACAAAGAGGTTAGAAGTCTGCTTTGTTGGAAGACTATTGTCCACAAACAACATGAGATTAAACTATGTAAGTAACAGGGTTTTCCTTTGAAAAATTGTCAATAACAAAGCTCAGTAACATATCTAACTTCTATATTCAATTATCTTCACAAATCACCGAATCATACAGTACAGAAGAGGACCTTCGACCCATTATGTTTGTACTGCCAAAAATATAATACTACCTTTACTCGTCCCACTTGCCCGCACTTAGCCTATAGCCTTGAATGTTATGACAGTTCAGATACTCATCCAAGTACTTCTTAAAAGGTTGCAAGGTTGCCACTTCGACTATCTTCCCAGATGGATTCCAGATTCCCACCAACTTCTGGGCGAAAGAAGTTTTCATTAAACCCCACACCCCACCCAACTAAATCTCCTGCCTTTCACTTTAAAAGTGTGCCCCTTTGTTCCTGACCCTTCAACTAAGGGAAACAGCTGCTTTCTTTCCACCCTGTCCACCCCACTCATAATTGTCTACACTTCTATCAGGTCTCCCCTCAAACTTCTCTGCTCCAAAGAGAAAAACATGTGCTTATAGGGCCCCTCTTCATAACTGAAATGCTCCATCCCAGGTAACTTCTTGGTGAATCTCCTCTGCACCTCTCCAGTGCAATCGCATCCTTCCTGTAGAGCAGTGCAGTCCAGCTGCGGCCTGACCAATGTTTTATACAGCTTAATGCAGCCTCCCTGCTCTTAGAATCTATCTCTTGACTGATAAAGGCAAGTGTCTCAGATGCCTTCTTAACTAGCTTATTAACCTGTTCTTCCATCTACAGGGATTTGTGGACAAGCACCCCAAGATCTCTCTGTTCCTGTGAGTTTCCTTGTGTCTTGCTATTCATTGACTACTCCTTTGTCTTGTTACTTCTTTCAAAGTGCATTGTCTCAATTTGTCAGATTTGAATTCCATTTGCCACTGATCTGCCTATCAGACCAATTTGATTATATCTTCCTGTAACCTAAGAATTTCCTCCTCACTGTCAACCAGCCAGCTAATTTTTGTGTTATCCACAAACTTATCATCCACCCAATATTCTCATTTACAACATTTATTGATATCACAAACATGTACAGCACTATTCTAAGAAAACAGCATAACTGTTAGCGCATCAAAGATCTGCGTATAGTGCTAAGGTACTGTGACTAGAGAGGGATCTCTTGTAAAAATGTGATCATTATTTCAGATCACAGCACATGAATAAGCTACACAGATCAGAACTTCCCAGATTTAATTCACAATCTATATTTATAGGGTAGGTATAGACTTTGGATATCTATTTGCTTTGTTTGTTCATGATTTGATTTGTCTAGCAAAGTCCTTACTGCTTGTTAGCAAATTAATTTCAGAAATTTCTAGTGAATTATGCTCCACCTATTCAAAAAGTGAGATTTTTTGTTCACCTGTTCTCTCTATGCTCTCTTCTAAGCAATAAAAATCTTGTACAGTATAGAGCTCAAAGTCACCCTCTACGTGAAAATGTCAAATCTGCGCTATGTACGTACAACTCAGAGTTATACCATGTATACAGAGCTCAAATTTTTGCAATTTCTTTTCCAATCAATCATTCATTATCACTGCACAGCATAAATTGCTCAGCCTTGTTGTCCTGAGAAGGCTGTGGCAGGCTTTTTTCTGCTTCAAACAACTGGTTTGTTAGGCAATTTCAGGGAATTGTTAAGTGTCAATCACATTGATACAGGCTGCAGTCACATAGAGGTTATTACAAGTAAAGCTTTGGGTTAACAATTTTCAAGTTAATCGGTTGGGATTTTGCAATAGTCCCACAGCTTTGTGCTCATTTCATTGTCAAAATAAGCTTTTTTATTAGTTTCTAAAAACTGAATTCAACTTCTTAAATAGCCATTGTAGGATGTGAATTCATATTCTTTGGATTATTGTTCAGACCTTACGGTTACTTGCTCAGCAACAAAATGACAGCATTCTCCTTAAATGCCAGAGCCAAAGCTTTGATTGTTCATTCAGTATGCTAACAATGCTCTGTGTAAAGCTATTCTTTTGTTATGTAATTTAGATTGTTAAATCTTAATGTGATTGGTGGAAATAATATTTCCTTATTTTTCTTAACATACCCTTTATAACTTCTATTAGATTTCTTTTAATAATTAGCTGAGTTCTTTCAAAAGTTACTCCCATCTCTCTTCGTCCTTCTTTGCAATGAATGCTCCTCATTGTTGGTATTCACTTAATAACTGGTAGGCCTGCAATATATTCAGCCCAGCCAGTAGACAAATCCTGGACCATTTTGTATAAGTGAGCCTTAGCAAGCAGCACTACCGACATTGACAGAAACTTTGAAAACCAGTCTAACTTGACTTTAAAACCTTTGAACGTTTTCAGCTTGAGTGCGCAGTTGTTTGATAACAGTGGGAAAAACGAAATAATGCAGGAAGCTCAAGAAGCAGTTATGTGATGTAAGAAGGTTATGGTGGATGAATGACTTTTAGAGTGAGAATCTTTGATTTTTCCATCCTATCTTGAAATATTGAACTGACTGTAAAATGTTTTAAGAATAATTGAAAGAGATAAATGTATTTTTGAATTTAAAGTGTGATTCAATGCTGGGAATCATTGCTTTCACCAGAACAATTGCACACCCAGTAGATTTGAATCAGAAATTTGACTACAACGCAGTTGTACCACATCTAAACCTGACACCCTTTGTGAGCAAGGACTCTCTCTTGGAAATGCCAGATCATAGAACCATTTTTTGTAGAGCAGCTGAATACATGACATTGGAACTGATTATGTGGTGTAAATTTCCATGTGACAATTTGGAGCACGTTGCTAATTTTTACTCACCACACATTCACCTCGTACACAGATGCTGTATGGATCTTTATAGGAACAACGAGTCCCATCATGCACTAATTGTTTCATGTAGACAACTCCTCCCATTTCCTTAGATCGACAGTACAGATGGCATCTTTTTATTGCTGTTAAAAAACAAAATCATTTTGTTGCTTAAATGCTTCAAGTCTTCGAAACTTGGAACTTGTTTTGATGACTATAAAGCTTCAGCACTTAACTCACAGTCAGGATGTTCATATGGAAGCCAATGGTGTTTAGCATTCTGATATTCATAGTGTGAATTTCGTTGCTGACACTGCTGTGCTCGGAAGTCCTCAAAATGACGTGGGCAATCTTCTTTATTACACAGTTGGTATTCATAGTTTACACCAGGACAATCCTGACCACCATTTGCAGGCCTGAGTTGCAACCAAACAGTAACATTACTACAAACTTTAATCAAGCAACAAATGTCTTACAGAAAGAAAAATAGTCATCGTACAACACTAATCACCACATCAGTTGATGTGCCTTTTGTACGAAAATAAAGTTGCTGGAAAAGCTCAGCAGGTCTGGCAGTATCTGTGAAGGAAAAAACAGAGTTAGCGTTTCGGGTCCAGTGACCCTTCCTCAGTGGGTCACTGAGCTTTTCCAGCAACTTTGTTTTTGTTCCTGATTTACAGCATCCACAGTTCTCTCAGTTTTTATTTAGTGATGTGCCTTTTGCAATTTGCTGACAATTTGAGATAATCATTCACAAGTCTGTGTCATTGGTAACTTTGCCAGTAGGTTTTGGTTGGGAGCATTCGTTATTCACTTTCAATGGCCTAACATGTTCTTTTGTAAGGAAATAGAAAGCAGACATTTTTTTAAAATGTTGACTAACTGGAAACTATTCACATTCAAAGGGATTTGAACACATCTGGCATATTCTATGCTATTTGATCTGTCAATTGTTTAGTGCAGTTAAAACAGAGGTTAATGAGATTTTTGATTACTAAATGAATTAAGGGATTATGAGGATATTGGATTAAGGTGAAAGTGTGGCAGAGAGATGGAGCAGGATCCAAAGGCTAAATAGCTTATTTTGTTCTTACTGTAACCCGACACTGTTCAATCAAGTTCAGATACTGAGTTCCATTTGTAATTGTACCGAGTGAGTGTCTACCTGAAGCAACCTCCATTAATTTCAAGCCTCCTCAATAAAACATTAGAGAGATTAACACTGAATCTAAAAGCCTTTGGCAATGCTTTAGTTTGTTGTTTTACAATGGGTCTCTTTAATACAGCTTCCACTCTATCCACAGCCCTGGGTCTGCTTTGCCAACTTCCTCCCTACTTTCAAAAAAACTTTTTATTGGAATGTTTCTTGATTCCTCCCCTTAATTTGATTTTTGCTTGTCTGTTGAGGCATGACTCATTGCATAATGATGACATACCTTCTCCCTAGCCAGGAGCTCCACCATCAATTGTACTGCCTTCCCAAAGCTTCAGCTGAAATTGGCTAATTCAGCACAGTCTAGAAATTGGACAGAGTTGTTCAGGCCACTGGGTTGCTGCAATACTTTTGCTTTTCAAAGTAAACTGAAGTAGTTAACTAAAAAACCCTTGCATAAATTTCTCAAAAGCATGTTGCTGACAAATAACCACAGAAACATAAGAACACAATGAGGTTTTTCAGCTCATTGTACCTCAGCTGGTGCTTTGAGAAAGCTATCCAATTAGTGTACACTTCCCCTGCTCTTTCTCCGCAACTTTGCAATCCAGTCCTTCTTATGGATTTATATGTATCCTAGCTATCACAGTATCATAACATCTCTTGTCAATTACTTTGTCACGTCGTGGGAAAACGTAGCAGAATAACATCACGTAGTTTACATGATGCTCCTAACAAAAGCATCCATCAGCGTCAAAGCCACTCACACTGGGTTACTGCACTGTCGAGTTCGAAAGCGGACACCAGAGCCACAGGTTCGAGAGCACGACCCAAGTTTGCTCCACGGTCCCCAGTTGCCGTCTACCTTTACCTGCTCTGAAGTCTTCCACAAACAGTGACCCTGGTAGCACCACTGTTAATTAAAATGAAACACACACAACAGTGGGAACTGTTAGTCTTATTGGTGGTCTCACTATGAATATCAGCGGCTAATTATTTCATAGCACATTATCACAGTAACTGTATATTAGTGCAGCATTATTGCACACACACTGGGATCACATTGCCTCACACTTGGTGTATTGTCAGACAGTTCATTATTGCATTAACGGTATCTTGTTATATTGCACATTATTTCAGACAGTGTGCAAGTACACTGACAGAAATTTGTTACATGAACTATAAATGCATTGTCATAGCACTACCACATCGAGGATTTGAGCTATGGGAAGAGGCTGAATAGGCTGGAGCCTTTTTTATCTGGAGCATCAGAGGCTGAGGAGTGACCTTGTGGAGGTTTATAAAATCATGAGGGGCATCTTTAGGTAAATAACCAAGGTCTTTTTCCAAGGGTGGGGGAGTCCAAAACTAGAGGGCATAGATTTAAGGTGAGAGGGGAAAGGACCTGAGGGGTAACTTTCAGTTTTGGAGTGGAAAATCAGGCACACAAAGCCTACAACTTTTTGCATGTGCATGCAGAGGACGGTGTGTGCATGAAACGAGCTGCAAGAGGAAATGGTGAAGGCAGGTGCTATTACAACATTTAAAAGGCATCTGAATGGGTATATGAATAGGAAGGATTTAGAGGGATATGGGTCAAATACTGGCAAATGGGATACGGTCAGATTGGGATGTCCGGTCAGCATGGACAAGTGGGACTGAAGGATCTGTTTCCTTGCTGTATGACTCTATGACAGCCCGATAATTCCAAACCATTGATTTGGGGCTAGCTTTCTACTGCTGACTCAGTGGACAAGCCTCATTAGAAAGTGTCCTGTCAGATCCAATTTTCGCTTGAGGAAGATCAGGTCAGGAAAAAAAATCAGCTGGTTAAAATGACTCACTCAGTTCTCCATGATTTCAATCCAGTTATTTGCTTATATTTGAGGTTCTCTAGCCATTGCACACCACCACCCCCCCCAACACTTCCTATGTTACAATATCAATCAGCAATTTCATTTGTTTTGTTGGTGGCTCACTTCTATGTTTTGAACTAAATTGCTAATGCTGAAAATATCCAACTCTCGGTAGTTCTGCTATAACGCGTGTTTCTTTAATGTGAATTGGCTGTAACGTGATTGATGAATAGTGGACACTGTTTGGATAATGCAAAGTTTCTGCTGTACAGATATAGCGATTTTCTATAACGATTTCCCTATAACGCAATTTTCTATAGTGCAAGGTCATACAAGAACGCAACTATCGCGTTATAGGAAAACTACCTGTAATGTCCTAAACTATCTCACCTCTTGTAATCTGAGTGAGTTTGAGGAATTAGTTATGAAGAATTTTGCTAAACACATCTAGAGGGCCTTCAGTAGATGTTGAGAGAAGACACTCAATTTAGTGGCAGCATTTAGTCAGATCATTAGTTCAGTCGGAGACATAATGCAGCTTCTTGACCATTCTTAAATCTGTAATCCATTCAGTCACAAATCAGGTATGCAATATGTCATTGCTTATAATGTGCTTTGTTCAAAGCAAGTAATAGCATGTCAGAGCCAACTCACCTTTCCAGGGGCACACTCTGTTCCATCTAAAGGAGGCCCTTTCTTTGTCTTGCAGAAAAATGGGTTGTCAGGATGGCTACACCATAACTGCTTACATGGATGGAAGGTGCGAAACTGTAACCACAGGAACATGCAATTGGTTCATATTCTTACGAACAGATCTTTAACAATTCGCTGATTTTTAAGGTTCTTGCAAAGATTTGTAGCTCAGGTTGTGGGTGAGGTTGTTGACTTGCTCGCCAAGCTGGCTGGTTGTTAGTTCAGATGTTTCGTCACCATGCTAGGTAATACCATCAGTGCAGCCTCCGATGAAGCGATGTAGCTCTACTCTGCTTGGAATTTACACAATCCGGTCTGTTGAGATGTTCTGCGTCATTTCTGGTTCTTTTTTGCAAGGGTTTGTATATGGGGTCTAATTCCACATGTTTATTAATAGCACGACAGGTGGAAAACCGGGCCTCTAGGAATTCCCATGCGTGTCTATGGCTGGCTTGAGCTAGGATAGTCACGTTGTCCCACTTAAATTGATGGCCTTCGTGTACTGAAATGAGAGAACGACACAACGACCTTTCCCTCATCTCAATGCACTCAGAATCACAAAGGCCATCAATTTTACTGGGATGACGTGACCATCCTAGCTCAAGCCAACGATAGACACGCATGGGAATTCCTAGAGGCCTGGTTCTCCACCCGTCGTGCTATTAATAAACATGTGTATTTAGACCCCATATACAAACTCTTGCAAAAAAGATTTACAGCAACCGCAGTTCTTTCGGTTTTTATTAACTTCAATTAGCTGATTTATTAAAAATCAATAGATGTTTGGTTTCTCTTACAAATGTATGAAGTGATTTTATAAGTGCCATTGGGAAATCTCATAGGGCAGGACTGTAGGTCGGTCAAACAACACATGGCCAAATGAGAGTTCCTATTTACTGAGGAACCACACTGAGACTGAAGCGTAAAAGAGTTCTAATAGTGTGCGGCTGATTCTGTGCCAAAAAGAGTAAATCTAGTGAGCGCTAACATTGAGATTAGAATGGAAATAGGGCTGTAATAATAGTTGGGCTGATTTTCTGAAACATGCTCCTGTCTAGCTGGTCTCCAGGCTAGGAATGTGCTAGAGTATAACACTACAGGTCTGATGTCATGACTCGTGCTCTTTCTATATATGATATATTGGGAAGTGTGACTGTACAAAGGGATCTGGGGGTCCTTGTACACCAGTCAATGAAAATAGGCTAGTGCAGCGAGCGATCAGGAAGGCAAATGGTATACTGGCCTTCATTGCAAGAGAATTTGAGTTCAGAAGTAGGGATGTCTTACTCCAGATGTACAGGCCTTGGTGAGACCATATGTGGCAGATTGCATGCAGTTTTGGTCTCCCTACCTAAGAAAGCATATATTTGCCATAGAAGGAATGCAGGGAGGTTCATTAAGCTGATAGCAAGGATTGCATGGCTGTCGTATGAGGAAAGGTTGGTTTGACTGGACCTGTATTCACTACAATGTAGAAAGATGAGAGGGGATCTGATTGAAACACATGAAATTCTAACAGGGCTGGTCAGACTAGGTGCAGGAGGATGAGTTCCCTGGTCGGGGAATCAAAAACAAAGGGGCACAGTCTCAGGATATGGGGTAGACCATTTAGGATTGAGAAGGTTGTGGGGTCCAAGTCACTGAATATATTCAAGAAAGAGACAGTTAAATGTTTAGACTTACAGGCATGAAAGGGTATTGGGAGAAAGCGGGAATATCACACTGAGATAGAAGATCAGCCATGATCATATTAAGTGGTGTAGCACATTCAAAGGGCTGAACGGTCTACTTCTGCTCCTACTTTCAATGTTCCCATGTCCTAGCAAGGCTCCATTTGGGGAGTTCTCTGTCACAAACTTGACTCTTGTATCGTCTCTTGTTTCTCTGGCCATTAATGTAACCGAATAAAATATCAAGCACTCCCTGTTATGAACCACCTTCAGAGAAATTTAACAAATATATAGTATGCAAATAAAGGCATGACTTTTACAACATCTCTTGACATACTGCAATGTGATAGACTACCATACTCTCACATGATCTACCTACAGCACTCTCATTATTGGATGTCATTTGTGGAGAATACTGTAAGTGAACAATTGTTTCAGTTTGTCTCCATAGCACTCTATTTTCAGGCCTGTTGAATTTACGTTCAGAATACATTGTGTTCTAGCACAAATCAATGCACACATAAAAAGTCTTAGGCCTTGTGTGCCTGATTTTCTACTCAAAAACTGAAACTGATCAACCATTAAATTGCATTCTGCACTAGAAATAGTGTTCTTAATCTTGATTTAAGATTTGCACATAGCACAAAGGAATTTGGGTTAAAAAAACACATTAATAGAATGGAGATCATTCATATAGAAAACTGCAAGTAAGAAACAAACAGACCTCTCCACTATGGTACACAGGGTCCTCAAGTGTGTCTGTTGTATTTTACATTCTTCCATCCTAATCCCATCTTCCTCACCTCCGTAACTATGATAGAACCCCACTAGCCCTCACCTCCATCCACCAACAGCCCCATGTGATTCATTACTCTCCATCATTTTTAGCATCTTCAACATGATCAGACCACCAAATAAAACAACTCTCCCCTTTCAGAATTCCAAAGACAGCATTCCATCTATAACATCTTTGTTGACTCTTTTATTACCAATTACGGACCATAAACTGTTTTGTGACAACGTGAAGTCTTGAAAGGCACTTTTTAAAGCTTTTTTTAAAACAATCTGGAGTGGGGGTCAAACTGTTTGAGGTCCTGCTTCATTTTTTCATATGTCTCACAATTTATGAGAAACGATCAGAGACAGAATGATGGTATGAATACCACCCCCAACCCATGGACTTGCCCCCCCGAATTTATTCTTTGTTGCACCTATTTCATGATCACTATTATTCAGTCAATTGTGATAGATCTGCAGCCTTGCAAACTATTGTACTGAAATGCTGGTCAGAAACATCAGATTCAGAATGTCAAAAAACACTCAAGTACTTGACTAGGTTCATTCCCATTATTTCTGTTTCTTTGCTAGCATTTTCCCCCACCAACTGTATTTTATATTCACTCATGGGATGTGGGTGTCATGAGCTGAGCCTGCATTTATTGCCTATCCCTAGTTGCCCTTGAGAAGTTAAACCTACAGCATCTTTAGGGAGAGAATTCCAGGATTTTGACCCAATTCATACCATAAGTCTGTCTCTGATCTTTTCTCATAAATTGTGAGCTACATGAGAAAATGAAGCAAGACCTCAATCAGTTTGACCTTTACTCCAGAACAGCGACACAATTCCAAGTCAGCATTGTGAGTGGCTTGGAGAGGAACATGCAGACGATGGTGTTCCCATATAAGATGGTGGCAGTGGCAGGGTAGGAAGTGTTCGGGCTCTGTCCCCAAATGCTCCCATTCTCCTGGCTGGCCACCTTCTTCTTTGTATTTTTATTATTTGTTTCTTCATTTCTTCATTTCCCTTTTGTATCAAAGTTCACCTTATCTTCTTTCCTGCGGCTACGGTGGAGGAAGTCGGTTGCCAGGGCCTGCTGCAGCTGCTGGAAGCCTGGTGGATCTGCATGTCCATTCTTTGTGGCCATAGTGGCCGTGGCTTTATCGAAGGCTTCATCGTCAGTGAGTCTGGTCCACTCCTCCTGGAAGCGGTGCAACAGTTTCACCGCTGGCTATAGAGGCGGTGGAATGGTGGTTTCAGTTCATTCCTTGATGCTATGGCAGTGATTTGTCAGCTGCAGATGTGGCGAAGGCTTCACCATTGGCGACTGGGTGGGTCCGGTCTGTCCCTCCTTGCTATGGCGGCGATGCAGTGGCTTCGCTGTCAGCTTCAGTGATGGCAGCATGGTGGGACTGGTCTGGAAATCCTTGCTTTGATTGCGAGGGGGCAGCTTTGGCACTGGCATTCATAGCCAATCCATAAGCCCAGGAGCCGTGGTGGGAACAGAAGATTAACTTTGTCTCAATGATAACACAGTGTGAAGCTGGAGGAACACAGCAGGCCAGCTCCACACTGTGTTATTTCTGACTCCTGCATCTGCAGTTCTTACTATCTTTGTCTCAATTATTTATTTCTTTAATTTCTGTAATTAAAATGGTGCCGAATTGTGGCAACTTATACACTTCTCAGTCTATCTTCATAAATACAAGTGACAATAAATTGCTTTTCTATTTTATTCTATCTGCTGCCCTTGTCCTTCTCGATGGAAGTGGTCCTGGGTTTGGAAGGAGCTTTGGCAAATTCCTGAAATGCATTTTTTAGATAGTACACACTGTTGCTATTGAACATCGGTGATGAAGGGAGTGAGACGTTTGAAGATGTTATGCCAATCAAGTGGGCTGCTTTGTTCTGGGCGATTTCAAGCTATTTGAGTGTTTTTGGAGCTGCACTCATCCAGGTAAGTGGAGAATATTCCATCATATTCCTGACTTGCAGATGGTGGACAGGCTTTGGGAGTCAGGAATGGAGTTACTTGCTGCAAGATTCCTGCTCTTATAGCTGTTGTATTTACATGTTTAGCTCAGTTCAGCTGCTGGTCAAGGGAAACCCCCAGGGTTTGATAATGGGGGTTTCAGTGACAGTAATGCCATTGAATATCAAAGGGCAGTGGCAAGAATGTCTCATATTGTTGATGATCATTGCCTGGCATGAACATTACCTACCACTTTTGAGCTCAAGCCTGGATACTGTCCAAGCCTTGCTGCATTTGAATATGGTCTTCTCCTGTTAACTGGCACTTGCAAAAACAGGACCTTGCAGACAAATGTCCTACAGTGCCTCAACAAAATATCCATTATCTTTCTGGGAGCTGAGTGTTGGCAAGAGTGTCACCATAAAAAGCATCAGAATCAAGTCTTTTCCTGTTTTGTTCCAACATTTGTACCAGGGCACTCCAGTCAAGTTACGGGATTCACCATTAATTTTCTTCACACATCACTGTGGTCAGTTACAGTGCCCAATGTGAAACTCACCATGATCAGATGACACAAATCAGAAGTATGAATCAAACTTGAAGTTTGATCTCATACTTTGTGGTGCAGTTTTCCAACAGAGAGTCTCCACCTTTAAATATGGGATTGTTCGACTGACAAAGTTTATTGCTAACCTCACGTTTCAACTTTATTTTTAAACTAACTCTGCTACTGTGGTTTGGGGATGATGTTGGCAAGACTTACGGCTGTGCACATCTTGTAACCCACTCCAAAATCAAAGCGGCATTGTTCATCCATTGAATAGTTGATTCCTGGCAGTTCAGGAAGTTTGGGCCAATCATGCTCAAATGGGTCATCCAGCAGACAGTCATAGGAACTGTAGGAAGAACAAGAAAGGGCACTGAATATATGATCAGTTCATTAGACGTTTCTTTTTGCCCAAACGTTCAAACTTTTTAGTTTATTCTGATGAAATCCATGAGGATGGGTAACATAACAATGGGATGATTCTGCATCAACCAGAAACAAGTGCAAGTCTGTTGCAGTTCTCCAGCTGGTTTCCTCTGTGATTGCTCACCATGTTGGAAGCACCAGGTAATCGAATTCCTTCCTCAATGTGCACTTTAGGCTCAAGTCGGCCTGGGCTTTCTGCATGGACAATGTTGATATTTCATAATAATCACTTGACTTCTTTCACTGAGATATGGGGCTATCCTACAGCATTAAGCAACACTGGCAGTCGCAGCTAACAGCAAGTGTCTTTTACCATCACTCTGAACACTACAGTTTTGGCCCCTATCATGTTTGCAGCAGTGGATATCTCAGGTGTACGGCAGATAACAGGCACAAAATAAAAGCCTGTTTATTACCAAAAGCTCTGACCAAGCTTCAAAGCAATGCAGGCATCGTGAACATACAGAAAGCTGTCCAAAAAAAGGCAAGAGACAGAATTTGACAGTCCACCACCAGCAGCTTTGTAGGTAGTGGAGGGAGGCAGTAAAGTTTCTCTTCCCACTGGTCTGCTGCCCACACCAATATGTTTGCAATTTTATGGGGTATAGGTAAGGTCTATTGGCTAGCCCACAATCCTTGCCCCAAATGAGGATCTAAAGTGGAAAATTAACAACCACATGGACAGTATCATGGAATTGTTACAGGGCAGAAGGAGCCATTGGGCCCATCATGTCAACACTGGCTCTCTAACAAGCATTGTGACTTAATCCCATTCTCTTACCCGTTCTCTACAATCCTTAACTTTATTACAGTGCAAGTAACCGTCCAGTTATCTCTTGAATCCCTCAATTGAAACTGCCTCCAACCCACTTCAGCAGTGCATTCCAGTCCCAAACCATTCATTATGTAAAAATGTTCTTTCTCAAACCACATTTGCTACTTTTGCATATCTGTGGCTTCTTGTCTGCGATCCTTTTACAAGCAGGAACAGTGTCTACTCTATCCAGAACTCTTATGATTCTGAAAACTTCTGTCAGATCTTCTCTTAATTTTAATCACCCCAAGAACAGCCGCAACCACTTCAAACTTTGCTCCTAACTGAAGCTTCTCATAGAACCATTCTTGTAAACATCTTCTGTACTCTCTCCAATGCATTCACGTTCTTTCAATAAATATAATTAAAGACCAGGATTAAAGGCTCAAGAGTGGCAGGAATTTTCAGGGATAAACAGGAAGGTAGCAAATGACTAGGCTTGGGCCTCAGGTGGAAAGACTTCCCATCTCTAGTTAATTAACTTTCCGGTAGTGTAAAATAGCTGCTCGGCAGCTGGCATCAGCAAAGGATGCTTTCCTCACTAACTCTTGAGACTCTCACCTGAAAAATCCTGCCTGAGGTCTTCTAGTGCCCTCTATAGTCCAAGTAGCTGCATGTTCCAATAATAATCAAGCTGTTGACCATTCAAAGCATTCAGTCTCTATCAATTAGTTTATACAACTCCCAGATATGAAGCAAGAATTGCCTCAGGGATAGGCCCACAGTCAATATTTTCTGCGCAAATTTGCTTACCAACCATTCAGCGTGTCTGAATTAAACTCTATAACAAATGCTATTTTCCAAAAAACCACAGCATAAAGAATTTTTTTCTACACCTCTCTCACTATGCTCTCAGTAGCAAATTAATTTCTTCATTAACTCACCAAGCTAAATTTTCCCTAGCCACTTTATCAAAACTATTTATCACTTTAAGAACCTCCAGCAAATTTGCTATTAACTTTCAATGTTCCAATGAAAATGGTTCCATTATTTCAAAAGTTCACCTGATTGCAATTTGTCATTATCGACATAACTCTTGTAGATCTACATTGTATTTTTTCTATGTTCTTTCTATTACAGGGGATCCAGAAGTACACACAGTGCTCCAACAAGAGGCCTAACCAATGTTTAAACATCATATCAGTAATGAGAAAGATCCTCATTACTCAAGTCACTTTTTGTAACTGTAGGCACTCAACCTTGGTAACACTCTAATCAATGTATGTTTTGCTTTTCCATTGCTTTTGCGGTCTGTAGACAATGGAAGGTAGACATTTTGCTCTGAATAAAGGAATCAATGCAAGCTTTGTGGAATTATGTGTTAAAAGCCAGACAGATTAACAATGTACAAGTTATTGTACATAGCATTAGGACATTCTTTGCACTTTTAAATTTGCATTTGGGCAGGTAGAAGTTTTTAATCATCATACACACTGATGATATGGAAGGCAAATGGAATTTTGGCAATTACTGTTAAAGGAACAGAGTATAAAAGTAAGGAAGTATTGTTGCAATTATATAAGGCATTAGTGAGACTGCAGCTGGAATTTTGTGTACAATTTTGGTCCCCCTATTTGAGGAGGAATGTGTTTGCATTGGAGGCGGTTCATAGGAGGTTCAGTAGATTGATTCCAGAGATGACGAGTTTGTCTTATGAAGGCCTATACTCTCTGGAGATTAGAAGAATGAGAGGAGATTTAATTAAGTATATAAGATCCTAAAGGGGATTGGCAAAGTAGACAGACAGAAAATGCTTCCTCATGTGGGGCAATCCAGAACGAGATAATTGTTTGGATAAGGGGTAGCGGATTTAAAAAAGAGATGAAGAGAAATTACTTCTCTCAAATGGTCATGAATCTGTGGAACTCACTATCTCAGAGTGCAACGGATGCTGGGACATTGAGTAATTTTGAGGAGGAGATAGACAGGTTTTTAATTAGTAATGGGTTGAAAGATTATGGAGAGTAGCAAGAAAGTGGAGTCGAGGCCAAGATGAGTTCAGCCATGACTGCATTAAATGGCAGAGCAGGCTCAAGGGGCTGACTTTGCCTACACCTGCTCTTGGGTCTTATGTTCTGATGTTCGAGCTAGACCTCCACTGGCCTCCGTTATTGGATCGGCATTTTTGCAACTCAGGGATACAAATGATAATGTCTACCACTATTTATTCGGGACAATATTGAGGGACCAATCCAAAGCTAAGTTGAAACTATTTCTTGAGGAATGGGCATTGTAGACACTGAACTGCAAGAACGATACGATCACTCCCTTTGCAGGGTCTTCAAGAGAAGAATTTTTTTTTAATAAATTCAAGCTAATAGCAACCTGTTGATGTACTCACTGAAGATATCGCTTGAGCTCTTGCCCGCTGCACCGAGACCAGTGAAAACGGTGAAATGCGGCTTGGACCAAGGGTGCCATGACACTTCCCATGCTGGTTTCATCTCCACACCGGTTTCCTTGACCATCGTGTTCCATTCCCAGCCTACAAGAGTTTCAATAAAGCTTGGTTAGAAAAGGTAACAGTTCTGCATCATGTTAAAAAAAGGTTAAAGGCGAATTAGAATGCTGACATTCCCAGTTGGCCAATGAGCACTGCTGTATTCCCATCTCCACTAGTAATACCTTTCCCTCTGAGCCAGATGGTTGTCCATCCAGGACCCAGGCACTTTGCCTAGCCTGACACCTCAAAAGGAGTACACTATGTACACGCCTGAGGATATCCCAGGGCTGACCAGCATTCCTGGCACTGCTGCCATCTTTACAAGTCTGTTGTGCACATGGATGAGCACTGTCACTTTGAAGCTGCCCTGCATGGTTCCTGATGCTTGTCCCAGGCATGCCAACAGGCGGAATCCAGCACCCTACTGATCAGGCAGGGACCTGGAGTTCCTGCTGAAAGCGGCGATGCAGAGGCAGGACTTCCTCTTGCTCCAGCACAAGCAGTGGAGGTCATGATGTCAAACCATGTCACATTGGCCTGTGGTTACCACTCAGATAAAGCACTCAACTGTCTAGAGGAATGCCCACCACTGCAGGAAGAAAATCAATGAGCTCGGTCCCTGTGCCAGTGTAAGTGCCACCATCTCATTCTATCTCTGCTATGGTACCCACCTCCTATCAAGACTCATGCTCCACCAATCTCACTAATGCCTGCAATGGCTTCCTCCTTTGCTCTCACCTACCCCAACCTCCAACATGCCCTCGGCACTGCCTACTCACTCGCTTGTGGCACCTCCCCACCTGCACAAACAGCAGTAGCTGTGCCACCTAATATCATCTTCAATACTACCTGCCTCTCTCTCATTCCAGGGGGAAAGCAGCTTACAATAGGGCAGAAAGAGTCACGGTGAGTGATGTGCTGCCTTTCATTTAGCTCCTTGCCCAATGTGTAGAGATGACCCGGACTCTGGCTGGCCCAAGAGGGCCTGGACTGGTATCAGAGGCTGCCTATGACTTACGGTGTCGGAATCACTTGCACAAAAGTTATCTTCCTTGACTGGAGTGAGGTCTGCTCCCAACCGTGACAAAATTCCTGGTTTTGTGTCTGGGTGAAGTGTTACAGCAAGGCAGTAGTAATATGAGACTGATATCTCTGTCCAGAGGGCAAGTTCAAAAAAGCAGGGATAATGTGAACATCCTGATAAGCTCAGTATGAGTGAGACATATGGTAGCGAGCAAAGAACCCAGAGACGCAGCTCGGCCCAGTCCACAAGCAGGGTATGTGTCCCTGAGCGTATTGTGTCCTTGCAGCAGTATTACAGTGAGAATTGGTGGTGCAGCCCAACATTGAAATGCTGTGCTGTAAGTGGATCAGAAATATGCAATAAGGCTTTTTCTCAAGCTGCCATATGTCAAATGCTAAGAGCTGTGGATGTGGGGTACATGTGAATGGTGCCCATGGAGGGTCCCCTGAGATACTGGTTTGCCTAGTTTCCATGCAGCAAGTTCAAACAGCCAAGCACCCATTCTGTGTCAGATTTTCGCGACGTCTACTTTGTCACTCAAGTTTGGTAAGAACACAACCAGAATATTAATGAGGTAAGTTGGATTGTCAACAAGGACCTTGACAAGCATTAACCGCTGTGGCTTGGCAATTCAGCTGCCCGATGTGAATCTAATCATGTTGCTTACAAAAAGTGTAAAAGATGCAGCGAGACATCTCAACATCAAGATGCATCTGGCCAGACTTTTCATCTGATTCCATCATAAATCTTGCTATTGCCCAAATCAGTCAGACTGCTCTTAGATTTCACCCACATTTCACTCCTTAAAACAATTAGTAACGTGTAAGATACAACTGTGTATTGATGGTGCACATTAGAAAGAAAGAATTGCATCTATTTTAATGCCTTTCAAAATGCCCCAAAGTGCTTCAGTGTCAATGAAAATATAGTCACTGTTGTAATGTAGGGAAATGAGGCTGTCAAATTGTGCGCAGCAAAGTCATCACAAACAATAGTGAGAATAATGCCAAACTGTCTAAAATCAGTGATACTAAACTCTGGTTACATTGCAACTAAAATATTGCGTCCAGTCTGAGCACTCCTACCTCAACTGTCACCATCCAGTATGTATCTAGCGCATGGGAGAATGAGAAACTGCATATCAATAAGGGGAGATGACATGATAAAGAGATGTTAACGCATGC